TCAGCCAAGATACTCTAATAGTTTAGTTGTAAAAAAATATTTTCTCGGGAGAATATTTTTTTGTTTAAAACGCTGTATCTCATCTCCTAGACATACGAAATTGCTGAAATTTTCTTCAAAACTTCTTTTTAGGGTGAAGAAACAGTGGAAGTAATTTCAGCCAAGATACTCCAAAAATTTAGTTTCAAAAAAATTTTTTTCTCAGGAGAAAATTTTTTTTTTGTTTAAAACGCTGTATCTCATCTCCTAGACATACGAAATTGCTGAAATTTTCTTCAAAACTTCTTTTTAGGGTGAAAAAACAGTGCAAGTAATTTCAGCCAATATACTCTAATAGTTTTGTTGTAAAAAATATTTTCTCGGGAGAATATTTTTTTGTTTATAAAAAGCTGTATCTCATCTCCTAGACATACGATATTGCTGAAATTTTCTTCAAAACTTCTTTTTAGGGTGAAGAAACAGTGGAAGTAATTTCAGCTAAGATACTGTAAAAGTTTAGTTTCAAAAAAAATTTTTTCTCAGGAGAATATTTTTTTTTGTTTAAAAACCTGTATCTCATCTCCTAGACATATGAACTTGCTGAAATTTTCCTCAAAACTTCTTTTTAGGGTGAAGAAACAGTGGAAGTACTTTCAGCCAAGATACTTTAAAAGTTTAGTTGTAAAAAAATATTATCTCGGGAGAACATTTTTTTGTTTAAAAAGCTGTATCTCATCTCCTAGACATACGAAATTGCTGAAATTTTCTTCAAAACTTCTTTTTAAGGTGAAAAAACAGTGGAAGTAATTTCAGCCAAGATACTCTAATAGTTTAGTTGTAAAAAAATATTTTCTCGGGAGAATATTTTTTTTGTTTAAAAAGCTGTATCTCATCTCCTAGACATACGATATTGCTGAAATTTTCTTCAAAACTTCTTTTTAGGGTGAAGAAACAGTGGAAGTAATTTCAGCCAAGATACTCTAAAAGTTTAGTTGTAAAAAAATATTTTCTCGGGAGAATATTTTTTTGTTTAAAAAGCTGTATCTCATCTCCTAGACATACGAAATTGCTGAAATTTTCTTCAAAACTTCTTTTTAGGGTGAAGAAACAGTGGAAGTAATTTCAGCCAAGATACTCTAATAGTTTAGTAGTAAAAAAATATTTTCTTAGGAGAATATTTTTTTTTTGTTTAAAAAGCTGTATCTCGTCTCCTAGACATACGAACATGCTGAAATTTTCCTGAAAACTTCTTTTTAAGGTGAAGAAATACCGGAAGTAATTTCAACCAAGATACTCTCATAATTTAGTTGTAAAAAAATATTTTCTCAGATTTTTTTTTTGTTTAAAAAGCTGTATCTCATCTCCTAGACATACGATATTGCTGAAATTTTCCTCACTACTTCTTTTTAGGGTGAAGATATAGTGGAAGTAATTTCAGCCAAGATACTCTAATAGTTTAGTTGTAAAAAAATATTTTCTCGGGAGAATATTTTTTTTGTTTAAAAAGCTGTATCTCATCTCCTAGACATACGAACTTGCTGAGATTTTCCTCAAAACTTCTTTTTAGGGTGAAGAAATAGTGGAAGTAAATTCAGCCAAGATACTCTAATAGTTTAGTTGTAAAAAAATATTTTCTCAGGAGATTTTTTTTTTGTTTAAAACGCTGTATCTCATCTCCTAGACATACGAAATTGCTGAAATTTTCTTCAAAACTTCTTTTTAGGGTGAAGAAACAGTGGAAGTAATTTCAGCCAAGATACTCTAATAGTTTAGTTGTAAAAAAAAATTTTCTCGGGTGAATATTTTTTTTTTGTTTAAAAAGCTGTATCTCATCTCCTAGACATACGATATTGCTGAAATTTTCCTCAAAACTTCTTTTTAGGGTGAAGAAATAGTGGAAGTAATTTCAGCCAAGATACTCTAATAGTTTAGTTGTAAAAAAATATTTTCTCTCAGGAGAAAGATTATTTATTTTTAAAAAAGCTGTATCTCATCTCCTACACATACGAAATTGCTGAAATTTTCCCCAGAACTTCTTTTTAGGGTGAAGAAATAGTGGGTGTAATGTCAGCCAAGATACTCTAATAGTTTAGTTGAAAAAAAATATTTTCTCTCAGGAGAAAGATTATTTATTTTTAAAAAAGCTGTATCTCATCTCCTTCACATACGAAATTGCTGAAATTTTCCCCAGAACTTCTTTTTAGGGTGAAGAAATAGTGGGTGTAATGTCAGCCAAGATACTCTAATAGTTTAGTTGAAAAAAAATATTTTCTCTCAGGAGAAAGATTATTTATTTTTAAAAAAGCTGTATCTCATCTCCTTCACATACGAAATTGCTGAAATTTTCCCCAGAACTTCTTTTTAGGGTGAAGAAATAGTGGGTGTAATGTCAGCCAAGATACTCTAATAGTTTAGTTGAAAAAAAAAATTTTTGTCTCAAGAGAATGTCGGCTGCTAGTTTCAGTTTCAACAATTTATTAAAATTATATTTTTAGCAGAGGAGATAAAGGTACCAAAACTTGTCACGTTAATTTTTAATATTATTTGTAATTTCGCAACGAAAAATTCTAATTTTTAAAAAATATAGGGCCCGGACCCTATCTTCTATGTTTCGTCCATGTCGGCTGCTAGCTGGTGGCTGCTAGTTTCAGTTTGATCATTATTCTCTATAAATTCCTTATCTAGGCCACAAGCTTTCATATTGAGCAAAACAAGACAATAATTATTATCTATACAATATAATGCATTGTTTATATGTTACCTAATGTATAGTTTCAACACCAAATAATTATAACAATTAGGCCCGTATTACAGAATGACAACTAAGTGTTGATCTTTACTTGAGTACAGTTAGAAAGGGATGTCGCTATGTGCTATATATTGCGACTGATCCCTTTCTATGCTCAAGACTAGATCAATCACTGAGATTCTTTCTATAATAGGGGCTTTAATCTTGTTGACAAAAGTTATTCTATATACAGAAGATAAGCATTAATGTACAACAACTCTTTTTTATTGACACATGCTGCTTCTGATATCTATTTAATACAAGTCACAAGTTATTTTTAATATAAAATGTTTTTAATATTTACTGGTAACCTTACAATGTAGTTTAAATTATAAACAGTGATTTGATTTTGTATATTGACCTACATAACTAGGTATATGAAAATATTTTTAAGTAAGAATATTTATATGCAACAACTTATTTTTATGCCATACATAAAAAAACAATATCTAAGGCCCTTATTATAGAAAGATTCTCAGTAATTGATCTAGTCTTGAGCATAGTTAGAAAGGGATGTCGCAATATATAGCACATAGCAACATCCCTTTCTAACTGTACTTAAGTAAAGATCAACACTTAGTTGTCATTCCGTAATACGGGCCTAAATCTACTTTTGGTATTAAACTATTCCCCCTTATTGTTTTTCAATATTATGAGTAGGAGTCACCAGCATTAAGTCTGTATTCTTCCAAATTAAATATTTGAATATTATATTATATCTGTTTGAAGACTTGTGGACAAGAACAACATCCTAAGGCCGTATACAGAAAGAAAGCCGAAAGCCGATCGGCGCCGATCAGCGCCGATCGGCGCTTATCGGCGCCTATTGACGCTGATCCTTTTTGTTTGGACCGGCGCCGATAAGCGCCGACACGCGCTGGTCTGAATAATAAATAATTTGTATTTGAATTTTATTATTATCCTTAGATTAAATTAATCTAAGTTATAATCTTTTTATAAATCTAATAACTTTATCTTTTATTAACTAAGCGCTAAAATTATTTGTTTCGTACTTACCGAATGGTGACTACAAGTCTTTCTTCTGGAAGGATTGGTTGTTTATGCCAATTGTCCCAATTTTTCATCAAACGGGTTTTCACTAAATTCAAAATGTAATAAAATGTTTCTTGAATCATTCTTGTATATGTATAAAATCTTTGTTCATCAAATTTCAATTTTTTTACAAATAAATGATGGTATTCGCCGAAACGTTTCCTTTCTCTATTTATAGGATGTATAGCTGTTTTTCGCATTTTTAAATAAACATTTTCTAACAAAACCAAATCATCCTCCGATGAGTAAATGTCGGACTCGAAGTGCTTGATCTGCTTTAATCGGCTTCCTTTATGTAGGAAGGATCGGCGCCGATAAGTGCCGATCGGCTTTCGGCTTTCTTTCTGTATACGGCCTAATTCTTTCTTTATTAATAGCTTTCTTTGTAGCCATTTCAGTATATGGATGTTTCTTTACTAATTGTGATTTTAAAGAAAAGAAAAAATTGTGATTATAGCAAAATTTTCAATTCATAGGGGTCTGTTAAAAAAAACAGGACAGCCTTTGAGCACTTATTTTTTAATGAAATTATTTTTATAAATATATCTCCTTCTTTTTATAGGTGCCCAGTGTATTCTAATTTTAGTTGAATTTTTCATTGTGTAATAATAGTACTGTAAATATTTATTTGTTATGAGGTGTGTTTGGAGTGAATTTATCTGAATATCCTACGAAATTTTTATGATCTCAGGTTATGGCATGTCAAGAATAAGTAATAATGAGATTTATATTTAATAAAATGCTGGGTACAGCAATTTTCCAATTATTTAAAAAAAATCCAAATATGTAAAGTAAAAAATAGTTTACTTTTCTGTTACTGTTTAATACTACCCCAAATAAATAAATTTGCCACAAAAAAAAATATCTTGGAGTTTCACAACAAAACTACATAAAAGTAGTTATCAAAGCTAGCAATTTGTACAGTAATATACAGGCTTACTTTCGAAATAATCATTCTTAGTGGCATAATTTAGAACTTGTGGGTGACTTTTTAAGATTCAAATATTTATCGTACAACTGCAGCTGGGCCAATGAGCGCGGGTTATTTATTCACGCCTTCACAATTAGACTGACAGCTGAACAGATAAACCTTGACAACAACGCGAAACCGCGCTAACGAGAGCCCGCGTACAAATACATAACAATGCAAAATAATGCAACCAAATCGTGTTTCTCTTACCTTCAGCGCTCTGATTCAAAGACGACGGGACCCCAGATGAAGTAAGGTCCTTTTTCTGCCCGGTTTTCGGCGGATCCGAGTCCGAATCGTCGAAAACCAGTGTCCTTACCGATTGAGAACACCGACGATCCATATCCACTATCACAGAACACACAAAAGCACTACGATTTTCGCCATTTATTACCACTCTCCAATAGCGACTAGATTAGATTTCTTCAATGATGGCTCTCAGTATTTGGCCAGTATCTGGTGTCCAACACTCCGCGATTGAAAATCATGACAAGGTGTATGTGTCACAATTTCAATAATTTAACGAAATCGATGTCTCAGAAAAGCTGCTTGATTGTTTTCTTCTATGCCATAACGCGATAGTCGACACACGACTTCTCCACAAATCGAAAAAGTGACATTCATGAAGGCCCGTAATAAAGTTGCCATACTGTAAAACAATTTTTGGTGTTGGACTATAAAATTAAAATTTCCCCAAATAACGTTCAGGAATATTGTTTCTCTTATGGCGCATCCACACATGCTGGCACGCATTTGTTGGGTATGCTGTCTGAAAGCTGGCGACAAACCCGGCGGCATGATACGCCATTAAATGTATGTAATAGAATAATATTTCTTTGTGTATGTTTATTTGTATGGGAAACCATGAACAAAATGACGCGGGCATTCATTAGTGTGTAATAAATAATTCCTTTCAAACTTGACTACTATGATTTGTGTGTGTAAGTTGTTCTAAATACACCTGCAAGAACCCAAGCCAACCTCAGCTTCACGTGGTGCATCCTGTCGACCAACAGACGAGTATCTGGCAAACCGACCGATTGCGGTATAACCATACAATGACGTAGGGGAGGGAAATCTCACTGGTGACGGGCAGCAGCGTCATCAGTGTATTAACCTACCTTCATCGATCGCCAACCTTTCGGAAGTCCTTTCGGAAGTGGAAGACTTCTACGGCCAGTTTTACGCATCACATGCATCTCGACCCGGTCCCGGAAATGAGGATTGTAGAGCCACATTAACACGCCACTTCACTAAAGACCTGCCAGAAGTCAGTATTGGCGAAATCGAGATTGCTCTTGGGCGGCTTAGAAATGGAGCCCCTGGAGAGGATGGTGTTACAACAGAACTCTTGAAAGCTGGGGGTCTGTCCGTACTGTACGCGTACTACTAAAAACTTTTTAACACTGTCCTTTTCGAAGGGAGAACTCCGGAGGTGTGAAGTAGGAGTGTGGTCGTCTTGTTCTTTAAAAAGGGGGACAAGACCCTACTTAAGAACTATCGACCCATACCCCTTCTAAGCCACGTCTATAAGCTGTTCTCAAGAGTGATCGCGAAACGCCTTGCCCGAAAACTTGATGACTTCCAACCACCGGAACAGGTTGGGTTTCGGAGTGGATATGGCACCATAGACCGCATCCACACAGTACGGCAGATTATACAGAAGACTGAGGAGTACAATCAGCCCCTGTACCTAGCTTTTGTGGACTATGAGAAGGCCTTTGACTCGATTGAAATCTGGTCTGTCCTGGGGTCCCTGCAGCGTTGCCAAGTCGACTGGCGATACATCTAAGTGATTAGATATCTCTACGAAGCCGCCACCATGTCTGCTCAAGTACAGAATCAGCAAACAAGTCCCATACCGTTGCAACGTGGAGTGAGACAATGGGACGTTATTTCCCCAACATTGTTCACTAATGCAATGAAGTATATGTTCAAGACGCTAAACTGCAAATGACATCAATGGTGAACGCATCTCTCACTTGCGATTTGCAGACCAAATCGTCATCATGGCTGAAACCCTGCAGGATGCTGCTGAATGACCTGGTTGACTCTTCTATACGCATCAGCCTACGGATGAACTTGGATAAAACCAAGGTCATGTTCAATGAACATGTACACGGTGCCGCTGTCGTAGTTGTTCAAAAATATGTATACCTCGGGCAGACATTGCAGTTAGGTAGAAACAACTTTGAGGTCTAGGTGAATAGAAGAATTCAGCGAGGTTGGGCAGCATTTGGGAAGCTACGTCAATTTATGATATCGTCGATCCCACAGTGCCTAAAGACGAAAGTCTTCAATCAGTGCGTCCTACCTGTGATGACATACGGAGCCGAGACGTGGACACTGACGGTACGGCTGGTCCATAAGTTCAAAGTCGCTCAGCGCACTATGGAAAGGTCTATGCTCGGCGTTTCTCTGAAGGACCGCATCAGAAATGAGGTAATCCGACAGAGAACCAGAGTCATCGACATAGACCACCGGATTAGCAAGTTGAAGTGGCAGTGGGTTGGCCATATTTGCCGAAGAACCGATAACCGTTGGGGTAAACGAGATCTGGAGTGGAGACCACTTCTAGACAAACGTAGTGTAGGACGTTCTCAGGCACGATGGAGTGACGATTTGCGCAAGGTGGCTGGCAGGAGTTGGATGTGAGTAGCCCAAGATCGATCTGAGTGGCGTGCAATTGGACAGGCCTATGTCCAGCAGTTGACTAGGATAGGCTGTTGATAATGATGATGACTATGATTTGATCTAAGTGAAAGTCAAAAAAGGTCGGATCACGATATCTCTGTAGAGTGAATAATCTGATCACACCAGAAAAACCTGATCTGGTAATCCTTTCAGGACGTTATTCATAAAAATCATAACTGTCATGTCATGCAAGAATCTTTCGTTTGAAGTTTTTTTTTTCGCAATTTTATGTTTGTAGAGTGAAAAGAAGAGAGAAAAGTGCGGTCTTAGTAGTTAGTTATTTATATAGTAATAAGTCAAAATAAATCTACAAAAGAACAAATGGAGTCGGTTCTTATGCAAAAAGAGCAATGTTATGAAGTAATCCTAACGTCAACGACTGAGTTTCAATCAATTTCTTGATATTGGTTTGTTTTTGTAGTGGTATTTTTATTTACGAATACATTTCAAGGTACGTTCTATTAATAGATTTAGGCATCTATATAACTAAAAAATATGTTAGATACCTAATAATCCATTGTTTAAATTTTGTACGAACGCATGTTTCGTAACATTTATTTTTCTATTGTTCATAAAAAAATATTTATTTGTAATAGTAATTGTATTACCAGTTTTGAATTAGGTACACTAATTGAAAAGTCGCTTTCTTTTAAGGTACTTTATCTGAAGATGATCGTATGATAATAGGTTGCAAAACGCTGTGCAGAGTTGCCAATATAAGATAAGGAAATGAGGTTGAGTTTTAAGGGGAAGATATTGAAAATGTAGAACGAGAAGTTGAATATCAAGAAGAAGAGGTTAATGATGACATTTAATATAAAGGAATTAAAGTTTTGGATTCGGATCTATCTTCCAGTGATTAAAAGAGTAGTTAACAATTTTTGAGAAAAAATCTTTTTCTTAGTTAGTTTATAAACTTTTATACCTAATGGTAAAATAAGAATAAATAAATTGATTTCGGAGATATGCGCAAACAACATTAAAAATGACCTTGAAACAAATGTTTTTTATAAGCCAAACATCCAAAATAGCATCGACTTACTAATATGGCATGCTGGAGCAAAACTGATTTAAACAGAAAACATGGCCATGCGCGAGTCGAGTATCGCTCTATTAGGGTTTCGTACGATGAAATAATCCTGTTATTGAAGCTACCTAATATCACTGACTTTTGAAATGTAGTTTGTTTCAGAGGTGTAGATATCGCTATCTAAATCGCAGTACACAACATAGGTACCACTAAAAGAAAAAATCGGAACGATTACCTAGGCAATCAAAGAGCGAATAAAGTGTTCGTGTGCGATTGTCTAAGGACTTACATGGTGTTTACTGTGTAGTGAATAAGGAACTGTGGAGCCTGAACTGGCATTATAATTTTGAACTCCATTCCGACACATAACAATATTCATAACCTTCTCAACGAGCTCTAGACAATCTAGACAATGATGTGTCACATGTATGGGACCCATTATGAAAAATAATGAAATTGAATTTAATCTAAATATTTAGCTTATGGCAAGCATTCTACATAAAATGCCATAATTTCAGTTCTGTTACAAATTCCAATTACGGTCTAGAGACCCGTGGCATACGGACAGACAGACAGACGCCAGAATGCCAGTATCGCGACTAGTGTGGAAAGAAATTATAGTTCCTTCTGTGATATATTGTTTGTTCCCGATCAATAGTTACAGTACACTGGATCAGTTTACGTATGATTTACTTAAAGGCTAATATACATTATTTTTGTGTGCATACACGTACGGCACACTAACAATAGGGTTCCGTTTTTACTCTTTGTGTATAGAATCCTAAACTGATTCATCGAAGTAGGCCCAAATACTTAATATATATACATATATACTTGGGAACTTTTTAAGTCAGTTAAAACAAGTATCAGATATAATTTATCAAACTATAATCAGTACTGCCACGTTCAAAGTCCTTATTTCTGCTACTGTCAGTCTACTGCAATCTTATCGTGGTTTGACTTGGACGTGTTTGGATAATTCAACTATTTTACTTCAAACCTAAAAACGTTGCCTAGAATTCCCCAACAATAAACCTACAAGAACAAACTTTTGCCTTAATAAATGGAAGATTTTGTTTAATGGCTACAATCAATTAAAACGAGATAGAAATAGGCAGTTTTTCTTTCTCTTTCGTCACTACTTTACAGCGCCATCTGTCGCTATCACAAAGTAACTCTAACTCGGGGTTACTAGAACCAAATAAATAATGATGCTATCACCTACTGAATTTATTTTTATTTCAGTTTCGTTTGACTATTATCATACATATTTTGTATAAAATTGTTGATATAATTAATAAATACATAAATTGAACGACAATCATTATGAAAAGCAATTAAATATATATAATTTAAGGGCGACATCTATTGCCACGTAGCAGCAAAATAAAGTTGTTGCCGTCAAAAGAAACGGAAAAACACGAGTGTGCGTCGCCTCAGTAGTTATCAGCTGAATTATTCGGCTAAAATGCCCTGGCACGGGCATACGTAGTCGTCGGTCCGCCATTACGACGCAGCCGAGACACGTTCGTCGTATTTAGTTAAATATTTTGGTTTATAAATGAGTAATAACGCTCATGAACTAAGTAATCGACTTCTGAATGCGTTGGATAACAATTACAATGTAAGTTTCCGAGTTTTAAACATCATAACTCTGATAAGCGAAGCTGAGATATGAGAACGGTCCCCACGAGCCTGTGACACCCGACTCGATGTTGCGATTTAGCCATTTGTGAGGTTGTTTCAACGATTTCCTGTTACGGAATGGTGCCAAATATGTATAATGGAGTTCGATGGTCGAAGTGTTTGGGGTGTAGTGCTACTAAAAACGTTGATATGTGGTTGCTGTGTGGATACGTGAGCTGTGCGAGTGCGGAGGGGCCACTGACGTCGTCAGAGCGCCGCCTGCCGTCCCTCCGTCCCTAGTGCCAAATGTTTTGCAATGTGAAAGTATAGAATTGTGCCACGCGTGACCTTTCCCGTAGGTTTTCTTGTTACGCGACAGATTTTGAAATTCCTTAGAAAAATTTCTTTTTTTTACCATTTGACCTCATGTGAGTATATTGAAGTTATATTCCGTGTGTGCACCTCGTGTTTGCAGGTTGCACCTGCTCGTCAGTAATGTGTTCCAGATTGATGTTCTTTCAGCAGCACATCAGGCTACAGCCATTTTTGGTTGTGCAACACATGACAACTTGTAATTGTCGCAACATTTTAGCGTGTTCGTGGTAGTTTTTAGCGCTATGGCGTGCGGCACCAGTTCCACTTGATTGGTTACTAAGTCTGTTTTCTGGTTAATCATTTCAAGTTTGGACAGTACTTATCATCTGAGTTTGTTATCATAGTATATGTCATTGTTTGATATCAATTATATATGTATAGACACCCAAAAACATCTTTATCAATATTATTTAAATTTGGTCACTTTTTGCAATGAGTCGCTGAGACAAGACAAGACATATATTGCATTAATTTCTTTAGGCACAATTATTCCTTATTTATCTGCCGATTTTTTACAATGAACTAAAGTTCTTGATTGAATTTTCTACATAAAATAGATTTTTTTATACAAAATGACACCTTGCACTTGTTCTTGTTTATTCTTGGAATGATGTAATTATAAACTGTAATGAAACTCTGAGATGAGTACTCGGTGCAGACTAAGCAAGTAAATCAAGTAGCCGAAGGACCAATATTAAAGAAAACTGAGAAATCCACTACTGCCTCATGGGAATAAAGTAATTTTGTTTTTCTAAGTATGTAGCTCAGTTCACTGATTGAGCACCAAAATCATCAGTGTGTCTAGCTACAGGTAAAAAAAAATCTCTTCCTAAAGGAAAGATCTAAAATGTAGCAGTTGCATGCATTACAAACAAGAAAGAATCAACACTGTTTTATGAGTTGACGAGATACTCAGGGTGTGTGGTGTTCTTTAAAAAGCTAGTTAATTCAAAAACAATAACAGCCCTTTGAAAACTGTAACTTACACTATAAAATTTTATAATGCATACAGTTGAGTGATGTAATAGTAGTTAATTCAATGCTATACAAATAAATAAGACCCAGTGCAAGAGGTTTTATTTATTTATAACAAAAATATGAAGATATATATAAGACAATCATTGTTTTATTTATTTAAAACAAAAATATGAAGATAATATGGAGCAATCATTTACTAATGAAAACTAAAACAATACGAACTACTCAAGAAGGCATTCCATAGTATTATTTAACGTTCCCCTTAAGGGAATCCTATTATTTATATTGTTGCTATGGGGAAGTTTTCCGTTGCCATAATACAGATGCTTATTATTTTCAAGATCAAATAATGTTATTACATCCATTCAGCGTAACTTGTTTTGTTAAAAATCTCAAAAAATATCTTGTAACATTGTAATAAGTACACTTTAAACCTTTTACTAATGCAAAGAAGACTAAAAGCTCATTAACAGTATTCTGAAGTCTACTGCGATAAGTAAAGATGCAACACATGCTTTTGTACCTAGAAACAAATATACTTTGAGAGGACCCACAGACAGATAGAAGAACGCAAGTGAATGATCTTTACATTAAGGACCATGGGCCTTACTTTTATGCTCATCTAACAATGTCTTCTATACAAACGAAATAGGTGATCATGGCCCATGCTTTTTATCACTTATTTGTTCTCTTAAATACTTAAAATTTGACATACTCTTTAAAGTACATGCGCCATCTACTTCAATCCTGGTCTGTGGGGGGCCAATTTTTATTTCCGGAATAAGATTTCAGCATCTGCTATTTGTCTTAATGAGGTTTTCATAAATGTTATTCAGAACATGTCTTTTTCACATTTGGTTCTCTGTTGACCCAGGTTCCAAAGTACTGCCCAACCTCCAGGTATAGATACTTTACTTAATGACAGAACTGATATTAATTCATTGATTTTAAAATCTTTAATGTCTGTATATTTGGAGACTGCTATTTGGATATCTACCACATTATTTGCAAATTTTTGAAAACTAGGATTTTGTGTCTATCATAATTTAATAAAAATAGCCTTTATTCTCTGCTATACATGTTAAAAGTAACTTAAAATTAAAACTTTTAGTTTAATCACTGACATCGGCATGTGTACAATCAGGTTGTCCTTGGACATAGGCTTCCTCCAAATTGGCCCTTTGGTTCCCATCTGTGACTCCTTGTTGCGAACTCTTGGGTAGATCGTCTTCCCATCTTTAGATAGAATAATATAAGAATAGATAAACATAATTTAGATAGAATTAAATTATGCTGACTCATGGTCATCCTACTAATGATATAAATGCAAAACTTTGTATGGATGTTGGTTAGTCTAGCACGCTAAAAGGGCTGAACGTTTTTAGATGAAAATTGGCATAGTATATAGTTTAACATCTAGATTGACGCATAGTATAATTTTTAGACTAGAAAAAATTAGAATTTTGTGGAATTTTTGTAAAAATAACTTTAAACTTTGAAGCTAGTTAATTTATATGTTTCTTTATATTAAGTTACTATATGACTTATATTATGTTTCTTATTTGTATTCTAATGTTAGAGTACAGTGAAAAGTTATGTACACTGTAATAATAGTTAAATTTGTATCAATTCTAAGTATATGTTATATATAATTATTAACCCACAACGACACGATGGATGAAAGAAATGGAAAGTTACTCCATTTTATTGTTTGGGGAGTACTACCGAGAACGGGCCATAAAGTACCATGTGTTATTTTAATTCTACAAATAGGGATGATGACTAATTTTTTTTTCTTCGTTTATCAGGTAGATTATCAAAAAGTATTGGACACGTATTTTTTCTTTTTTCACATAATAACAGCATTGCAGAGATATATTGATTTGAAAAGTCGCATGACGTCACGTTTGAGTACACTTATAAGGGAAAATTCACTCAAAAGTGACGTCACGAGCCCCTACTCCCAAACTTTGACGCGCTATAACTTTGTCATTTTTTGGTTGATTGCCCAAAGAAAAAATATGTGTCCATTATTTTTTGATCATCTAACTGACGGACTTAATAGAATTTCGTTTACTATACCCCGTCATCACCCCTATTGCAATCAATATCGAAGGCTAAATGAGCATCCCGAAACAAGTTGAAGCTCCAAATACCTAACAAAATGTTGATCTCCCGTCCAATAACCAGCTTTTGCGACAGTTGCTTAACTACAACAAAATCAGAACGAGCGCGCTTAACACTACGCCGTTACGCACATAGTAAATAATTTTGTATATATATTCTGTATATAACATAGGGAATCATTTTAAAATGATATTATAGTAATGAAAATACTACTAGAAAAAATCTACTCAGTCCAGCCAGGTTACAGACGGGATATTTTCGCTTTATTAACGCTTTAATATAAAAATATTATTGTAGTAAATAATAAAGAGCAACATTCTCAACTCTAACCATCTGAAAAATAACATTCCATTCACAATGGTAGGAAACTGTTTTACATTACTTTTTTTTGTCCAAGTTTTGCCTTCACAGCTTTGATTGTGAGTCGTAAAATTGCTTAGACGTCGTAAAATCAAATGAAAATTCTATTACACACGTGGGAAAATGTACTCCTTTGGATTTGATTTCCATTACAATGTTTATCCACTGTTATCTCTTCGATATGAAATTTTGTTTTAGTCATAATATTTATTTTTTTATTACAGGTTGTCGACATGCACGCTGTCAATGAAATCATATCCATTTTGGAGAAAATCAATATCACAAAAGAGCTGTTGGAGGTAAGTAATTTTAGTACCTATGCAATAACTCCTGAGTGCCCAGTGACTTCGTCTGTGTGGAAATATTGGTATCCCATACAAACTTTCACCCCTTAAAGAATGATTTCGAAAATAAAAACTATACCAGCTCCTTACCTGCAACTATGGCTATGTTCTATTTTAGGGGGTTAGGTTTCTTCATATGGTCATGGCAGTGGGAAGGGATCTCTCGTTGCCCAGCGTCGTTAAAGCGATGCTGGACAGCGACAGATCCTGGAACGCGGTTGTCTCCTTCTGTGAGGAAGTCATCCTACAGAAGGAGACAGCAGAGAGGGCCCGCGAGGGGGACGCCCGGGCCGGTCCTCTCCGTCGCCGACGACCGGGGGGAAGACGGCGGCAGTACGACCGCCTCTTTCCACCCTAGTGGGACTGCGGGCGGCGGACAGGGTAGTCCGTCGCTCGCGTTGCGCAGTCTCACCCGTCGAGGGAGGATGCCTAGGTGCTCCAGGGCATCCCCCTGACCATCAGGAGGAGGAGGAACCTCTGCCGGGTAACGTGGAGCGTCACCCGGATCCCACAAAACCCGTTCCGGCAGACGAGGGAGCACTGTTGGGTTTTTAGTGGGTAGCCCCCCCCCCCCCCTCATCCCGAACAGCCGCCGAGCCAGCCTGGCTGGGCGGGGGGGCGGGATTTGGGGGGAGGAGGAGTCCCACATAACCCCGCCACATACCGGCGGGGTATGCATAACGCATTTTCCCAACATAAAAAAAAAAAAAAAAGGTTTCTTCATCTTGTCGTAGTCCTTTAAGTGGACCATTCTACGTGAGCCATGGCGGCCGGTTATTCCAGTCAGCCCATCTCCCTCCAGAAGCAGATCAGTCTTCCCAGTCTACTCAGGGCATCTGCGATTGATACCGGTATACCAAAAGTTTCCCCGCGGATTTGGGCGACACCAGTGCACTCGTGGAGCAAATGTGTCACCGTTTTTCTGCCTCCATGCATGCTCTGCATAGGTTACTGTCAGTGATATCTAGGATGTGAAAGTGTTTATTCATTGGCAATGCCCGGTAATGATTCTCGCCACCAGTCTCAGGCTGTTCCTGTCCAGGTACAGAAGGCTCCTGGTCAGCTTTATATCTAGGGATGGCATAGCATCCTTAGATTGCCTACACCCTGGTGTCGAGGTCCACCAATTCTTCGCTTGTGTTTCTGCGTGGGCTGTTAACCAACTTCTTAGTTGGTTGATGGGTATGGGTACAATGGGTTCGGGTCCGAGCGCCTTTGTGTTAGAACCTCTTCTCGCGAGGGACACTTATCTCTACACCTATTTTTTATTTTAAAATCTGGCGCTCCAGGTCACTTATGATTAGCACCGTCCTCCCCCCACCAGAATTACTAACTCAAAAGTATAGGTCAGTAACGAATGCCTTGATATGACTTCTGCTGGCCTTCATAGCTATGGCCCTTTTGGTCTAAGGGTAAGTGCCTCCCTCCCTCCCCCTGTTGATATAGAGTATGGATATAAACCACATGAAAAATGTGATCAGTACCCCTAGCACGAACCAATATCGAATTAGTATCGTTTGCGAGTCCGAAATGTTGTTGAATGTGTACTGATTTTTAGTTCTCGTTACGTACTTTGTGCCGCTGCTGTTCAAGTTTCCATACAAAATTTGACACACGAACAACACCCTTAGCACGAACCACTATCGAATTGGAATAGTTGCATTCGATCTATTTTAATGATACTTACGTCAAAATAATGTGTAGTGATTTTTAGTTCTCGTTACGTCCGTTCCGTTGTGGCGCTGCTTTTCAAGTTTCCAATACAAAATTTGACAGTAACATTTCGCACTCGCAAACTATTCGGATTCGATATTGGTTCGCGCTAAAGGTACAGAAGCTTTTAAGATCGTCACAGTAATACAAACAGACAGACGCTTCAGGCGACTTTGTTTTATAATATGAAGTGATTATTAAGCTTTTTTTATATTGGCACGGCAAATTTGGGAAGCTGGCGATTTTTATATGTCTCGCCGTGCAGTGCGGCGCCGGTACAGCGAACGCTCGACAACAGGACTGTTGCCGCACCGCGCGTTTTGTATGAAAAAAAAGGATCGTCCGTACGCTGTACGACAAACGCACCGCTTTGGCACCGTAGCAGGCCGTCAAGGAACGCAAAAATTGAAAGCGCCCTTAGTATCCTATTACACAAAACTTACAGTGCTTACTTTAGGGTTAGGCTAATTGGTGTGTGTGTGTGTGTTTTTTTTATGTTATAGGTGGCGTACGAGCAGACGGCTCACCAGATTATCACCGTCGCCCATGGACACTTGCAACAGGAGTATCACAAATGCGATGCCGGCCTTTAAGGAAGGAGTACGCTCTTTTTTTGAAGGTTTTTGGGTCGTATTGGTCCGGAAACACTGCTGGCGACAATATATTCCACAGTCAAATTTCGACAAAAACGCACGGTTGTGGATAGCCACGCATCAAGATGATGGGGATGAAATTTTTTGTGTGAGAAATACGTATTTATTTATTTATGTATTTGTATATGATGGTTGTTTTAGACCACCAGACTTGGCAAGCATGTGAACGAGCTACGAAGGAAGACGAGCGACCCGACCCTCGCGCGCCGCGCCAAGGTGCTGGTGAAGAGGTGGCGGGACCTCGTCATCCCGTCCGTGGCCTCGCCCGGAAACACCGGTAAACTATAGTTCTTACAAGTTGCAGGTTTTTGAGAAGTTCGATGTTGCAGTTTCTTAGAAGACCTCACGTCTTGGAGGCATGTCACGTGAACAAGACAGGTAGGGTGCAGCGGACTTTCTGCTCGAATAGGGTATTTGACAGTATTAAAAATAAAGTGCCAATAGGGATGATGACTAATTTTTTTTTCTTCGTTTATCAGGTAGATTGTCAAAAAGTATTGGACACGTATTTTTTCTTTTTTCAAATAATATAATCATTGCAGAGATATATTGATTTGAAAAGTCGCATGACGTCACGTTTGAGTACACTTATAAGTGAAAATTCACTCAAAAGTGACGTCACGAGCCCCTACTCCCAAACTTTGACGCGCTATAACTTTGTCATTTTTTGGTTGATTGCCCAAAGAAAAAATACGTGTCCATTATTTTTTGATCATCTAACTGACGGGCTAAATAGAATTTCGTTTACTGTACCCCGTCATCATCCCTATTGTAAGCATCTGTGTTGAGAATGAATATTGGCAGGGGTTTTTACTATTTATACAAACAAATTATTCATAATTTTACTAAAAACCCACGAAAAAGATAATAGTTTTCTTATCTATTGTCACGTGACCCAAAACGCTTGGGATTGGCGGAGCCTAAAATGACGTCACACGCAAGTAAACTTCCGGTTAAAGTGACATTACATTGTATCGTTTGACGTTTTAATAACAGTCGTGTGACGTCACACACTAGTAAGACGCCATATTGTCAAGAAAAACGTTTTCGTGGCAACTTGAAAATGGAGTTTTTGATTTGGTTATTTTTACTGAAATACACAACAGAATGATGAATATCCACTTTTTACGGACTCCATAAACATTAGTCAATAACGTGAGATCGTTTTCTAGAACATGTCAAATACCCTAACTTTTACCTTGCCAAAGACCCGGTAAAATAACACTACTTTTCGGTAGTATTGTGTTTCTGCCGGTGAGTTGGGTTCCAGGACTCCACAGGGTAGGGGATTGGGTTCGAGCCAGCAAGGTGGTATGGCTGCAGCGGCATATCTTCTGCCGCATAATCTATCTTAATGATATTAATAAGAAATCGGTAATTTTGTGCGTCTCGTATGATAAAACAATAATGTCCTGCATCTTCGCCGAGCACATAGACTAAGAATTAAGCAACTTTTGCAATAGCCACTCGCATTACAATGCGCCCTTAAGCTTTTCTGTGTCTGCAAGACCAACAGATACTATTAGTTCTTTTTGTTTGCATAATTTAACATAAGAAAGAGATAGAAAGCCTCTCTTAGTTTGTTTCGCCGGTTCTCTCAATTTTGGAACCGGTGGTAGTTTACGGTAGTTAGGGTCAAATAAATAAACTCAAAATTACAAAAAAGAATTTTAAATAAAGTACTTCATTAACTAAATCTTTATATATATAATTCTTCTGTGAGTGTGTATGTCACTGAACTTCTCGTAAACGACTGGACCGATTTTGATGAAATTTTTTGTGTATGTTCAAGGGGATCTGAGAATGGTTTAGATTCACAATTTTGTCCGCTGGACAATGTTTTTTTAGTTAATTTTTTTTATGGCGGTACGAAGTTCGCTGGGTCAGCTAGTTAAGTAATAAATTCATACATAGACAATAAAACTTTAAAAATCGAACAATGAAATAACCGAACGCTCAATAGAAGTCTTTCGAAGGTAGCTCGACAAAATTAAATAAAAAATTGATTCCGACGATGCAGTCTGTAAAGGCTGCGAAACGTCAATAAATAAATAAAGTTTCGTACATTAACCCGTGAAAAACTAGTTTTACACTATAAATAACTTGGCACATAATAAACTTGCTTCTTATCGAAAACAAATTGATAGATTTGTTTGTCTCCAGGCTCCAACCGATCGTCGGCAGAGCGACAGGTGCGAAGACTGGGGGGAACGCCTCTCACCTCGCCTGCGCTGTCCAGGGTGAGTATTTAATTAATTATCTTAAGCCAGTATGGGCTTCACGTCACTCATGAAGCAAATATGAAAAGGCTTCATCCAAGTCATGCATCTAATAAAACTCTTTAATATCAATATTATTAGAAAGTACTTACATTTTTAATTGTCTTTGCCATGAATTTTATTTAAGGGTTTGAATAAAATTTAAGACAGAATAAAGACTTACAAAGCAAGCTGCGGGCGAGTTTTTTCATACATTTTATGCAGGGTGGCCGGAACATCGACGTCCAAAAATTAGGTCCCTTGTATAGTGGGGAATCACCCCCATGTATGTTCCACGACGTTTTATAGTTTTCTAGTTATGGTTTTTTTTTTCTAAATATTCGGGTATTTTCGACAACTTAAAAATAAAACTAAAAAAAGGCAGACTCGTATTTTTTTTTGAAATAGCAAACACATTTACACACACTGTGGTATATTACGTGTCTACCGATCTCTGTTCAAGCAAGAGAGCCCCTTGACAGAAACGGAAGAGGCATATTAAATGTTAGTGTCTATGTATTTATGATGTTTCTTGCAGGTGGTGAGTCCAGCTGTGAACAGTCCACGGCCACCGTCTAGGCCAGGTGAGTAATTATGCAACTTAACGTCTCTGTAAATAACAAATAATACAGGGGCAAAACAGCCCTTGCTTTTGCTGCTTGCTTGTTTCTTACCGGTTCTTCTCAGTACAAGGTCTCCCGCCGTAGATTATTGAAGCGATGGCGTAGTTTTTCGACATTATGTACTATGAAAAACAGACCGCAACACAGACAATATATTTTGAATTTAAAAATTTTCTCCTCCTAGACAGTTTAATCTTTACCCACATTGGACATTCAGCAAATCCCGTAGGTGTCATCACAAGAAATATAATCCTGTTCATATTATACATGTGAAAGTGTATATGTTTAACTCAATCGGGCAAAAATGGCTAAACGGATTTGTATGAAATTTGGCACACATATAAGGTGTATTCCGTAATATATATCAGTATGCTGGCAGGTACTAACGACGTCATGAATCGACGCTATACTGGTGAATTGTTCCGATATATATTGGCCAGTGCACTGACGTCATAAATCGACGAAATATTAAAAATAGCGCGAATAAAGAATATTTTTTATTCACCTTATCAATTAAAAGGAATTCTTTTTGTTTCGATGCCATTATTATTCTTTAAATAAAAAAGAAATAAAATTCGAATGCATCTCACGCACGCTATTATAGGTAAGTTTACGCGGATAAAATCGCGGGCGGCCGCTAGTATATAATAATGAATAATGCGTGCAGACAGTTCTCTGAAATTCGTTTATCGTTGTTTCGGTAGCTTATACATACTTACTCAATCTACTGAACTGAGAAGTCTCTTTTGTTATTTACATTTTAAAACTGAGTAACATTATACAATGTATAAGTTACCATCCTACGTATTTTTTTTATTATTGTTTAGGGATAATCGACCTTATTATAAAATGCTGTCTAAAATTTATGCTGTCACTTTTGTTTGCTTAAAAGTAGACAGAGACAACGACTAACTTTTAAGTCCACGCATTGGGTTAAAACCAAGACTAACTTTAGTCCACGTTTTCGAATAAGGCGGAATGTGTTTGGAATACTGTTTAGTGAGTTGATATAATAGGGATGATGACTATTTTTTTTCTCTGTTTATCAGGTAGATTATCAAAAAGTATTGGACACGTATTTTTTCTTTTTTCACATAATATAAACATTGCACAGATATATTGATTTGAAAAGTCGCATGACGTCACGTTTTGGTACAATTTTCACTTAAAAGTGACGTCACGACCCCTACTCCCAAACTTTGACGCGCTATAACTTTGTCATTTTTTGGTTGATTGCCCAAAGAAAAAATACGTGTACCCAATGAATGGATATCCGAATACGTTTGCAGACATTTCATTTGTCGAAATTATTTTTATTTATCTGTGTGCGTGTCGCGTTAGAATTGAAGTTTAGTTGTATGAGTTTGGGATCATGTTTTAGCGGGCTTTGTTAGACAGTAATGCTTCCATAATATTTCTGATTCGATGGACAGTACGACATCTGGGTCTCTTATTATAGCTATTAAGGGGATTGTTACCATGTACCTCCTTTTTTATGAGTCTCCGATATTTCGGCACTGTTGCGAGCGCCATGATCACGAATTAACTGAAGTAATTGCGGGTAGATGTTATTGGCAGACATATCGGTCTACCCTCTGACGTCGTCATTTACTGCGCTCGATACCCCTACCATTGGTCACATTCTCACTATTCACTCGCACCTGTTCCCGACACACAATACTCACAGTATCAGATCGCGGAACGACACTTTAATGATTATTGCGGTTTTTGCACATACGAACGAAATATCGGAGACTCATAAAAATCAAGGAAAGAGAATGGGCGTGGCGAAAAACGGAACTAACATTAAGATTTTTATTTGGCAATCAAACCTAGCAATCTGTAAAACGTCAAAGTTTTGTATTGATACGGATTTGTTTGTTGTTGTGATCTCTTGCGGTTTTTTATATTTAATCATGTCTAAAAGGGGTAAAACCTTACAAATACGGTAGAAAAGCACTACTGCGCCCTCCAATCTAAATCCCATTCTCTTCCCGCACAGACTCTTAATAGCTATAATGTTAGTGACCATTAAAGTTTAAAACAATATATGTGGGTCTCTCTCTACGTACAGTATACAGTATGTATTTATATGTGTTGGCATTGGTTGCAGCGTGGGGTGGTTACGAATCTGACTCTCAGGACGTGATCCTCGTAGACGACGAGCCTTCACCCGCGCCCGCTCCCTCTCCGGCTCTGCTGCCGCCCCCGCCCGCACATAAGCCGCTCACGCCGCGTATGTATTATTAATGAATATTATTAATGCCGGCCACTGATCGGCTGCCACTTTCTTAAGCGCAGTAGCAGCTTAAGGGCAGTAGTCGCGAGAAAAACAACCTCTATAAAAAATTACCCGGAGTGAATCGGCTGGCGTCCTGGGTATCCTGGGTGTTTGTTAGTTTTATCAAAGGAACGGATATATATATATATATATATATATACATATACATATAGCTTTTAAACACTCCATATGTCATTATTTATTAGATTCCTTTCTGCATCCTCCTGATATGATATAGATTTGTATGTATATACATATATATTATATAAATATTTATTATTATTTATGTATTTTATGTAGTATATATATATTATCTTATATGTAAAATAATTTGATGAATTTTTTTTTTGCACTACCTTCTTAAGATCTTTGCTATAATTCTCCGGTTGACTGGTAGAGAATGCCTAATAGCATTAAGTCCTCCAGTTGTACAGTTATTTGTGCAAAAAAGTGTAAATAAATAAATATGTCTAGCAAGCATTAGCTTGCGAGCATTGTCAACCGTGTACCTATGTACACGAGTACATGAGAAAGTTATTAAATTTTTGGTCTCCCATCCGATGACCGACCATTACGAAAGTAGCTTAACTTCGACGGTCACCGAACGCGCTTAACATTTGTGTCATTGAGCTCCTGAGAAAGCTCCTCAAAAATGTATATTTACATGTTTATCTTGTAAAAATCAAGAAAGCAAATTCAATAAGAAAATAATATCAGATTACGTTTTTATAGATCGTCAATACATATAATTTTCGTGTCGGACACTAATATTATGGTCTATAATAAATACAAAATTAAATGGTGTGCTAAGAAGTTCATTTATTAAAAAAAAACTACTTGATCTTACTACGCTAGGTATATTAAAATCTGGTATTTTGACCTTATTGCAACGCTAATAAAACATTTCAAGGAAAATTGTCCTAAATTAAAGCACCTGACCATACAGACATCAGACTTTATAATAATTAAGTGTTTAATGATCATTTCACTTTGCAGCTGTGAAGCGGGCATCCTCCCCTGTGCCTATACACGATGAGAAGAAAGCGAAACGAGACAAAAAACCCAAGAAAAAGAGGTAACACGATAGTGAGAGCGATAGAGGCGATATGAAATGAAATTCTACTTTATTCAAATTTACTTATAGAAAGGTCTTTTGAATCGTCCAATATTTTTCCCTACCACCCATTCAAGACATCTTTTAGCTGATAAGATGAAAGAGCGCAAGAAACTTATCAGCATTAACAGAAGTAGCAACATTTACATAAAATCATGTCGCTACCAATACAATTAATTAGATACATTAATTATGTGTTACATGTTACTTGTAATTTTGCAAGATAGAGGGACATATCTCTCATATTCTCATTGAAAATGAAAATACCTATACAAAATTTTAAATGTACAGTGCAATTCAACTAAGAATAGGACCGACTGGACGCCATGTTGTAACGACATAGCTGTCAATTAAACTCGAATAGGTAGAGTGAGCAAAAAAGTTTTTCTTGAATAAAATTTATTTACCAAGATTAAGTAAGAAAAGTTATCAGATTTTTAAATAACAGTTTTTTACTAATATATTTAATTTTTAATATTTATATTTATAAAAACATCATTTTTAATTATATTTATTTATTAAGACTGAGTGACAAAAACACTTATCAGAATCTAGCTATATATCTCATTTTTATACGTTCACATGATTTATTTCCTTCTTTTGTTTACAAATGTTTGGTTTTTATTCTAAGATTAGCTCAGTGCTAAAAAAAAGTTTTCAAAGATTTCTTTGCAAACCGTACTTTTACCAAGCGACATTTGATAGATGGAGGTCATTGGCTTTCCTATTCTTATTTGAATCGCATAGTAATCTCTCCAATTCTGAGTTGGATATGAACAACAAAGCGTAATAGTAATATTTATTAATTTATTGATGCGTTCTATGAGAATTATCTCTTATCTGCTGTTCAGGGACTAGGAAAGCTCATTTCATATCATCATCATCAGCCTATTGATGTCCCCAGTGCTAAGACGCAGATGAAAATAGAATAGGGAGTACGGGCCATGGCCCATGACGTAAGCTTAATAAGATCTGGGCCCCAATTCTCGCGGCGTAGATATTATATCGGCTTCGAGATAATATCGAAAGTAGGGATATCTATTGAAAATATCTACTGATGGTTAAAAATGCTATTCTCGTGGATTTTCGATATTCCAATGATATTATATCTATCGTAGATATTCTTTCACTGACGAGTGCGTTCCGTTTTTCTCGATTAAGTTAACATCGTAGTCTATATAAAATAATAATAAATTAGAGCAGAATTTTACAAGCAACAAAATGTTATTTTATATTTTATGAATTCCATTCATATTAAATATGAGTATACATTTTTTGAGTATATGAAATCTCAACTTTACCTAAATTGTATGCGTTTAAAATTTCAACGTTATGTATAATGAAACGTCAATATTATTTAAGATTCTCCTTTTTCAGGGAAGGCAAAGGGAACAATGTCCATACAGCCCAGTCATTAGTTATATTAATCTTCTTTTTTTACATTAGAATGTCGGTGTGACGCATTCTAATGTTTCTTGGAGTGTTTGACACGAAATGTATCGAGTTGGTTTTTTCGATAAGCTTCTGTGAGTTAGTTAACACTACAATAAGTTCTCGCGTCCACTTGACCGTAATAGCGTATATTTTAAAGATTCCACTAATTCTTCAGTTGCGCAGACGGTTGTAACACCAAATTTCATAATATCCACTATGAACGAATTTTAGAATAATTAAAATAAGATGCCAACCGCACTCGCAGAAATCCCGCCAAAAACTCCGTATCGTCAATAAGAAAATGGTGTTGATTCTGGCATGATTCTCTAAACCTAAACGTAAATTTGACAACAGTGTATCCTTGTCTTTCTCCATACAGAATGAAAAGGAGAGACTGATGTTAAATTTAGTTTTAAGTTTAGAGAATCAGTGTCAGGATCGATACCAATGTCATTCATAACTTTATAGATTTCTAACCAAATTTTTGTTTAAACGTATTTTTTTTATAAAGTCGGCGTCCCTCATTTCAAATGGGCCCTCTTGCTCTCACAACGGCGGCGCCTGAGCACAGCAGCAGCAATCACGTCATTTATTAAATCATTGACGAAAACATGAATCAACTCATCCATCGTTAATATAAACTGGTGTCGATTCTGGCACGATTCTCTAAATCTAAACTTAAACTTGACAACAGTGTTCCTTGTCGTTCTCTATACAGAATGAAAAAGAGAGACTGATGTTAAATTTAGTTTTAAGTTTAGAGAATCACGCCAGAATCGACACCATTGTTTACCTTCTTCTTTATTTACTAATTATTTATGAAGGCAGTTAACAACATCTTGAGTTAACAATAATTGGCAAAGACACACGACAACACAATAAATATTAGGTAAAAAAAGTGGAAATAACAAGATTGACATGCCAAGATCCATAGATATTTATATATCGAAGGCTCTGTACCAGTCGATGTATGTCTACTGATCATCCGTAGATAAATATCTATTGCGACATGGTGAGAATAGGGCAAAAAGGTTTTCCTTCGATAAAAGCCAGATCATTCGATATATATCGAAGGTGATATAATATCTATGCCGCGAGAATTGGGCCCCTGTACCCTTAGCACGAACCATTTTCAAATTCGAATAGTTGAATTCGATTCATTTTATACATCAAATGTGTATTGATTTTTAGTTCTGTTTAGGTCCGTTGTGGCGCTGCTGTTCAAGTTTCCATACAAAATTTGACAATGACATTTCGCACTCGCAAACTATTCGAATTCGATATTGGTTCGTGCTAAGGATACTGCTGGATGCTAACGACTGCTTAGATCTTTCGAAGCACGCTGCAGCTTATGAATGCACATTTGGTCGCCCATCCTATGACCGGACGTTGCGAAAGTTGCTCCACTTCCACGATCGCAGACCGAACGCGCTAAATATTTAATTGGTGTTAAATTCGTTTTATCATGTGTAGAAATCGATTACGAGTGATCGATTAACGTATTACTAACACGACACGATTTCATGGGTCGATGAGGAATGTGTTAATATGCGAAAGAATCGTAACATTGAATATTGAGCATAACAAAGGCCGAACTAATTAACAGTCGCATAGTTTTAGTAAACCTATAATTGGGACTACTACGGTCTTACAACAAAAAAAGTTAGACACTGGTGCCGATTCTGGCATGATTCTCTAAACTTAAAACTAAAGGAGATTGCTCAGATTCCATACATGTTTGGCCTAAAGATCAATAATCATGAAAAATTGTTTTCTAGATTCGAAATTATATATAAATTACTGTAGAAACGAATATTATTGACGGACACTGCTGAGAAATTCTTTAAACCATATACACTGAACATATTAAAATAATAAAAAAAAAATAAGTTATATAGTAAACTAGGGATATCAAGCTAAGTACCGAAATTATGGATTAGATTCAGGTATATAGAGCATGTAGATTAACAGATAGTTGCCTGTTTTTAAAGTTAATGCATAAGAGTAACTTTTAAAATCAGGTATCATCTATGCATTTCCGGTTATAATAAGGTACTCTGTGACAGAAACTGTGTGGTGATTGTGAATGAGCCACAGATTAGAGAGATTTTTTAAACTCGTTAACCAAAGAAAGCTAAGAGATTTAGTTTCTATAGCCATATATTCAGTAGCTTCATTATTTATGTTGTTTTTAAGATAACCATATTTTAGATTTATACTGTATCACACCTTATAATTTTATTAATTTATAGTCGGGCAACGTAGGCCCATAGATAGATACCTTAAAGTCTAACATATATATAGATTATAATGTGTTTATGGAGGTATTTGGCGAAAAATGTATGGCAATATACTTTATGATGTCGCCTACCATGTATAATAATTGTCTGAGCACATTTGCATGTAGGGAAAATGATAATAAAGTTGTGGATATTAATACCACAGTGTAATAAAAAAAATGATTTATATTATGGATCTTTACAAAATAGATTTGTTTTTATGTTATATAAACAACTTACTTTGGCTGAATGTTGCTACACCCATAGCCATCAAAAATGATTCGTATGTTTTCCAAACCGGTAAAATTAAAAGTCCTTTTTAAAATAAATATATTATACAAAGGTGTCCGTTAAAATCTAACGACTGTAAAATAAAGTATAAATTAAGCCAAGAATTACGGTATATGTCAATATTTTTTGTACAATCTCCTTTAATATGAGTCCCACCTTTTCATTCTGTATAGAGAATGACAAGGATACACTGATGTCACATTTAAGTTTATGTTTAGGGAATCATGAGGTTGTTGGTGTTTTAAAATGAACCCTGTATATAAGTAACTTTTAACCTGTTCTGTTTTTTAAAAAGTGTTTGTTACGCAGTTAACACTCGTCTCTCTCGCTACAGGGGCCACAGTCGCGCCGGCTCCGGCGCGGAGACGGCGGCGGGCTCCGGTCCGGTACCGGGTCCCACTGCACCGGTCCCGAGCCCCGGCCCGGTCCCTCCAGCAGCCGGTGCGGCGTGGCCGGCCCGGAACGGCAGCGCGGCGCCGGACCGTCGCCGGAACGGCTACAAGCGCGACAAGGTGGACCCTTATGCCGCGCTCGTCAATAGGATGCCCCCCGCCGGAGCTAAAAAGGTGGGTGACGCTTTGTAATAGGATACGAACGTTTTATTGAAGTGAAACTTATTCTCGACGGGGTGTAAACATAGAGGTATAAGATTAGAGTGGGGAAGGCGGCTCTAAAAGTGTCCGTCTAGTAGAAAGAGAAAGTAGAAATTATTGACAAATTTAATTTTATAAACGAATTTCCATAATAATAATTACAAAATTAAACTACTACTGTTAATAAGATCAATTGTGTAAGTTATAAAATTAATGAAATCAGATGACATTTATGCATGCTTTGAGAAATAAAGTTGTTTAATAAAAATTAGGTTCTCTGTATAGATAATTGTTTGTTTGTTAAATTATCTTTTGTAATTTTTATCTATATTGCGATACCCTGACAGGGTTCATGTTAGGTACTTTATGCATTTTGTAACTTGTAACATTCATGTAACCACATGAGTGCAATAAATTGAATTGAAAAAAGATGAGAGACCGCTAGCTATCTCTCTCTCTTGTGACGCATTCCATTCAATGGCATCGCATCGAAATACTAAGATGCTTACGGTTGCCAATGCGCATGCGCGATTAGAGAGAGAAAGCTAGCGGTCTCTCATCTTCTTTCTCTTTCTATTAGAGGGACACTTCCACTTGTAGTAAACTCTATATCTCCCCTACTCTATTCTTATACATCTATGGGTGAAAATGGAAAAAGCCTATGGAAAAGATGAAACGGAAATGCGTCACGAGCGCGACTGCTATATTGCCGACCATCCATTTGAATTTCACAAATATTTTCTGGTGTTCAAGCGCTTCTTGATTGGGACACATTTTGAGCGCAAGTTGTGTATCTAGGGTATTTAATATGGTTGCTCGAACTACTTAACGGCTTCTCCGTTTCGTACTCGTGAGACTTGCGAGAGGCTAGGTGTGAGGTCCTTTCGTTGGTGTGCCCCTTAACCCCTCATTTACACTAAGGCAGGGGTTCCCCAAGTGTGCGCCATTAGTCGATCCTCTAATTATTATTGGACACCACAAATATTGGCGGGTAAAGGAACCGTTTCGGAATCTTGTGATGAATACTTTTGAAATTTTGAACAAAATAGCTGTGATAAAGAACAAATATCGCTCAAAGATCAATGTTGAGCAAGAAATGAGAGTAGCAGTGTCAAGTCTTATTCCCCGCTTTGAAAAACTGTGCAGAGATCACCAAGCTAACCCTTCACATTGATTTTCCTGAGTAAATATCGTATTTAATTTTTGTTCTTTCTTAAGTCTTTCTTGTTGTTTTCCGTTCAAATTCTTTTATAATAAAAAAATCAACTTTATATTGTGGTGTTGATGTGGTGTTTTAATTTTCGTTACGATCAACCTAACTTAACTACTATTGTAGGTACTTATTTCTTTCGATTATTTTCCTTAAATAGTTAATTAGGACAGGGCGCCGTGAAAAAATATTAAACTTGTAACTGTTTCGCGGGTTACAAAAGATTGGGAACCTGCACTAAGGTATAAATACACATATTTAACAAATTTTATACAAGTCTTCATTTTTCGTTCACACTCTTATACATGTATAAAACATGTTTTATACAATACTTTTATCAAACTTGTTGGATAAACAAAATATGTAAATTAAATGAGTGATTAATACTTTTCAAGATAGTAGTTGTCTATGCAGTGTCAACGAGAAAATGGTTCGAACAACCACAACAAGTATTTTACAAGTTTTGAACTAAACTAGTTTAAGATTTGTATCTTGGTGAAAACTAAGGGTTAGGGTGCCAGCGTCTGCAAATAGACAACCTCCGTGGTCGAGTGGTTTGTACGCCGGGTTTCAAAGTGTCGTGAGGGCCCGGGTTCAAATCCCGGTGGGGGCAGATGTTTGTGTGATGAATACGAGCATTTGTACTCCAATCATGGATGTTTAATATGTATTTTAAAATTATACTTATTTAAATGTATTAGTATATGTATTCTATCCTTTACCCTAGTATCCCATAACACAAGGCTACAGTGCTTACTTAGGGGCTAGGCTAATTATTGTGGGTGTTTATATTTATTTATCTATTGTTTTTGTGTTCCAGGTGAAGACCACCAAGGAGCTCCTGGAGGAGATCCAGTCTCGAGGCAGGGGGGTGGCTGCCTCCCCGTCGCCGCCGAACTCGCCTGATGTTATGCTCATAGAGCCGGACCGTGAGTATTGAGGGGAAATAGTAAAAGGAGGTTAAAATTCATATGATGTTGTCTCGTCAAGAGATGGCGCTACCGGCGCTGTACTCATAAAGTATGGAAGCCTACAACGCGCAAGAGATTCGGAGGCTTACTCTTCATTCATACAGGGTGTAAAAAATCATTTAACGAAGTCGAAGGCCACGTATTTTCCACACCATGACGATCATTTTTTTTTCTTCTGGACCACACCTGGGAAATTTATGGTAATGGAGATATTGAAGGTCAAAATCACAAATTTTTTTTCAAGATTTATACATTAATATTTACAAAACGTTCTTTAGAAACTTTTTATCGACGCACTTACACACATAAACACAGGCACATTCTTTGCGTAGCGCTACAGTAGCCCGCCGCGCTATACATTGCGTACTGGAAAAAATAAAATATTTTTTTAACTTAAAATACAAATTATTCCCACGTATAATATTTTGTAATATAACTTCTTTGGGTGAACAGAATACGTAGTCTTAATATTTGTCATTGGTTGTTTTATACCCAATGTTCGACCGCCATCAAATTGTGGAAAATTTTTAAGGGAAACAGTACAAGGGGTTAAAGTTCCGTCTGATGTGATACTGGATACCCTTAGCACGAACCAATAGCGCATTCGAATAGTTTGCGAGTGCAAATAGTCTTTTTCAAATTTTGTAATAAAACTTGAACAGCAGCCCCTCAACGGACGCAACGAGAACTAAAAATCAGTACATATTTGACGTATACCTAGATCCAATGCAACTATTCCAAATTAGATAATAAATAATTTCACATTATGTAATGAAAGGTGACTTCATGAATCATCTCTGAAGTCATTTTTCAACTTGACGACTCTGTAAATGATAAAACAGGGAGAAAAAAACAGCCCTTGCTGAGTTTCTTGCCGGTTCTTCTCAGTACAAGGTCTCCCGCCGTAGATTTACGAATCGATGGCGTATCTTCTAGACATTCATATGTGCTTATAACTCCGCCTAAACTTAATAAATGATTTTGATTATGATTATTATGATTAGATATTGGTTCGTGCTAACGGTACAGATCAGTCGACTTACTTCTTTGGAAAAATGGAAACGTCATGAATAAATAAATCAGTGTGTCTATACTATTGAAACTTGTTTCGTTAATGAAAATGTTATTTTGTGTGTGAGCACCTAAGAAACAAATATATTTTGATCTGATTTTTTTATTATCTTTCTACAAAATCGTTCTCTCAAGCGAGAGAAAAACATTAAAAATATGCTTAACTAGTGGCCCGCCCTCGCTTCGCTTCGGGTTAGAATTGATCTAAATCTAACCCGAAGCGAAGTCAGTCAAATTTCAGCCCGATCCGTCCAGTGGTTTGGGCTGTGCGTTGATAGATCACTATGTCAGTCAGTCACTTTTGAGTTTTATCTAATATATAAAAATCTCGTGTCGCGGTGTTTGTGGTTAAACTCCTCCGAAACGGCTTGACCCATTTTCATGAAATTTTGTGTGCATATTGGGTAGGTCTGAGAATCGGACAACATTTTTTTTTCATCCCCCTAAATGTTAAGGTTAATCCACCCCTAAATTATTATTTTTCAATTTTAGATTTTTTTTTTTTAATTTTTTTATGATGCAGTATTAGTAAATATAACCCTGAATTTTCACCCTTCTACCACCAGCCCCTATTTTTATGGCGGTACGAAGTTCGCTGGGTCAGCTAGTATCTCTTATCTATTAGACAAGTCCGTCCGTCCGTCCGCCTGTGGTGCTGTTTCAGCGGCCAAACCGTAAGAGATAGATAAAAAGGATATTTAAGTTATAAGTTAAGAATAGTCTGATAAGACTACAAACCGGATTTGAGTAACGTAGCACTTCCGGTTTTCGAGAAATCACGAATTTCAAACGAAACCACCCAAAATCTCCGAAGTTCTCAATTAATTAAATACATTTTTTTTTTAAATCAGGTTTTGGTGAACATTTGATTCACTGGTTTGCTAGTATATATAGATTTCTTTTCCAGCGTGTCCAGTAAAAGTGGAATCCCCTCTCCGCAACGGAGACAGCGAGCCCCGCGTTCCATCCCCCGTGCACTCGCCGCTGCCTCCGCTGGAAGACGAGCGGCCCTACTACGAGTGCACTTGCGACGGGGCGGGGTCACCGGCCGACGGGGCGGGGTCGATGGCCGCGGGGTCACTGACCTCGGGGTCGTTGACCTGCCCCGCGGGCTATGGCAGGAGGGTGCGGCCACGTCACGTGCACGCGTTGCATCATACGCTGGTGCCGGGAGTCAACGGGACCAGGGCACCGCCGTTACCTCACAGGTGAACTATGTAATATCATTTGAGGAGCTAGCGAACAAAGCGGTATAATAGGGTATTTAGGATATAGGAGCTCGATGACGCAAGTGGTTAGCGCGTTCGGCTGCGATGGTTGAAGTTAATCAACTTTCGCAGTGGTCGGTCATTGGATGGGTGACCAAAATCTGGTATCTCAAGCTCCTCCGTGCTTCGAAAGGCACGTTAAGCCGTTGGTGCCGGCTGCATCTGCAGTCGTTAGCACTCACCAATCCGCACTGAGCCCGCGTGGTTGGTCATGGCCGAATCTCCCAATTCCATCCATAGGGAAGGCCTGTGCCCCAGCAGTGGGGACATTAATAGGCTGATGATGAATAGGATATTTGAAAAGTTTTAGAAAACGATCTCACGTTATTAAAAAATGTTTATAGAGTCCGTAAAAAGTAGATATTCATCATTCTGTTGTGTATTTCAGTAAGAATAACCGAATCAAAAACTCCATTTACAAGTTGCAGCGAAATCGTTTCTCTGGACAACATGGCGTCTTACTAGTGTGTAACGTCAAACGACTGTTATTAAAACGTCAAACGATACAATGTAATGTCACTTTAACGGGAAGTTTACTTGCGTGTGACGTTATTTTAGGCTCCACCAATCCCAAGTGTTTTGGGTCACGTGACAATAGATAAGAAAACTATTACCTTTTTCGTGGGTTTTTAGTAAAATTATGAATATTTAATGCCAATATTCATTCTAAACACAGATGCTAACAACGGAGACTTTATTTTTAATACTGTCAAATACCCTATTACGCATCTGGTCAAACTACTTTTATTTTACAGTCCGAAGGTTTCAGACCTGTCGAATTCGAATCTCAAATAATTTTCAATCAAAACCACCTAAAACAGTGTTAAAATTACTATTTTTTTTTAATTAAAACCCATGCTAAAACCTCACTGTAAGTATGTCATTCAGTTTTATACAGCTCCTGTTAAAATTGAATTTTATGTAATTATACCGTTTTGTTCGCCAGTTCCTCATTTACTTTGCAACACATTGTATACTAGGTCGTGTGCATTGTTCGAACGTTTATAATTACGCGCTATACAAGGAAGAGTGCGGTAAATAAATTATGTATGGCGCCATGCTTATTCTTTACTGTTTTTTTTTTATTTCTATCGAACCTCCTTTGGACGTGCTTTTGATCTATAATTGAGTCTCACTTTAATACTAAAAAGAAAAAGAGACGAAAGATGTAGTTCTAATTTTCACCACTAGCACGTGACGTCACTTGAAAATGCGCACCATTTTCTTATTAGGAAAAGTCTGATTGATTACTTAAAAAGATTAAAAATCAAACGGAGTTCTTGCTAATATGTTCATTTTATTAAATTTCATCTCCATCCTATGGTTGTCTGGCAGAATTTGCTATATAGCGATAAGACCGCCTATTGTTCACTATTTTAAGTTTTGTCCTTGTGTGTAATATTTAATGTGGTGTGCACAATAAAGTGTTATCTATCTATCTATGTTGATAAACGTTGTATAACATTTGTGCGGATTGGTGTTACAAACTCGTGACAATGGTAAACCGTCGACTTCGTCTCGGGCATACATACGTCTACTCGTTTGTAATAACCAACTCACCACACTAATATCATAAATAACTATTATCTATGGAAAACCAAGTGTTATAACAGATTAAATCCTTACATAGAGTAAACTATGGCAAGAGCAATTACAAGATTTTCTGTAAACAATATTAATAGATATGATTTTATATAAAATAACAATGCATAAAGGTCAGGTCATCTCACCAGGGGGCCATTCGCCTAACGGCCATGCTTTGGAAAACGCTAACGCTTACGATTTCATTTTGTTATTTCGGCTAGCCGCCTCGCGCTCTTTTTTTTCTTTTGCATTGGTAATAACAATATTATAAAAAATGAGCGTGAGGTATTTGAAAACCTTCGGCGGTCAGAAATAACAAAATAAAATCGAAAGCTTTACCGTTTTCCAAAACATTTCCGTTAGGCGAATGGCCCTCAGGTGATACATTAGTGCCAGCAGTTAATGGTACCAAGGCATAAGGGTGAATAAAATGTCATTCACCCTTGGTATTTTAATTAAATTATGTGCTCTTTAAAAGAGTTGGTTCACCAGAAGCAGCGGCTGTGCGTCTGGCATTACTGATCCCGTCACGTAAAAAGGCCGCTGTGCAATAGTGGAGTAAATCTGTTTTTTTTTTAGTGCAAGCGTAGGTATATGTATGTTACAGACAAAAATTCACTAGTCCCTTAGTTACTAGAATTTATTTAATACCTTTTTTAGCTAATATTAGTAAATATTCCTTTCCCGCAGGTTCGCTGTCCGCAAGCCCGAGCACCCCGACTGGCCGGGCTTATTCGCCAGCGTAGTCCCCCTCTACAAATATTCGGACTACGCCGACGACTACTGCGTCAAAAACATGTCCAACGTGCCCATCTGTACTCATCTCCCTTGGACGGAGTTCGCCCCTGCACCCCCTTCACCACCCCCTTTACCAGATCCACCCTCACCCAGACCTTACCCCGTTGAAGATTCGACAGATATAGTGAAAACAGAACCAGACCCTCCACCACCTCCAGACATCGATCCAATCGCAGAAGCAAAACCAATAATTAAGATAGAACCACAACCTGTGAGCTTACCGGTCCTAGAACAGAGCGAGAGACTCAAACCCCCGATTTTGAACGAGGAAGACGAAATCCAGTTCGGGAAAGCGGAAATACTGCCCAAATTGGAAATCCAAGCCGAGTTCAAGAACGAAATACAGGAGCACAGAACTGTGGAAAGGACGAAAATTATAGATAGAGTGGATTTGGATGGGAGGGCTTTGGTGGAACAGTGCGATACGGCGCGGTCGTCGATACCCTGGGACTATGAGCAGATGGCTAAAGCACCTGAATTCTCGTTTGGCATTGAAATCGCTGAAGAGGAAGAGGAGTTGGCTTTAGAGACGGCTTTGGTGACATCTGCGGAATCCATGGAATCTGCGGATCCAACAGAATCGACGAGAGATTCCCTCGGTCGCCCTTTGCCGCCTCAGCGATTTAGCGAGTGGCACGAATGCGCTAAACTAGGCGATCTGATAGCTCTGCCATACGTAGTGATCGACTGACGCCACCAAGCCACTTCGCCCCCAAGTGCCCTTACTATTGTTATAGAAGTGACGGGTGATATGAGCGCCATTAACTTTCGAGTGTATTTTCGGGTACATCCAATTGTGTATTCAGTGAAATCAGGAGCGAAATGTGTAATCAGTGAACAAAATGAAAACAAAAAAAGCGGCATTCTCTTCTTCTGAATGATGAGTGCTGGTAACAAATTAAATTGACCATTAATTATCCATAAAATATAGATTGAAATCGTAACCTACTTATTCAATCATCAAATTTAAACTCAAAATGTACTCAATTTACTACTTGACATTTAATCGCGTTTAAATCATCTGTCGCAATTTGTGCGTGCCGTTCGCACGATCCGATCCTCAGTCAAGTATTTATTCGGAACGTCGACGGACAACGCGCTTACTGCTGATATTGTTGTGATACCGGCGGGTCGCGAACTGTTATCCGGTGTAGTGTGTGCGAGACAAACAGTAATCTCTGGGACTGCTCGTGTGGAGTTATCTTGTTACCGATTGTGATTTATGAAAAAAGTAAAATTAATTAATGAAAAAAAATTAAAAGATTTAGGTAATTAATAATAATAGGAGTTCCAATTGTATATTATACGTATATATATATATTGCTATATCACTCGGTCGAATATCAGAATACGGAAGAGATATATAAATTATACATGCATATGTGAATTTTCTATGCTCGCTGAGGAGTGTGGGTACGGAACGTTGTTGTGTGATTCGCGACCTTATAGTGATACGCGGACGGTATATTTTCATTGTGGAGATAGAGACAGGCACGATTTGCAATCTGTGATGTAGTTTGATGAGAAGATTCCCGTGGTATGGTGTATGTCCGATGAAAAAAGTTTTTTATATTAAAGTAATGTCCTATTGAAGATTCTATTTCGTGAAACTCTATACCTTGACTGTTCATATTTACCTGTTACCTTGTAAGATACTAACTGCTCCCGTGAACGGAGCGCTGAGTGCGAGTTTTTAATACAAAGTGTGACATTTGCGCGTCATTTCTATATTTACCAATAAGCGCCATCTTTTGGCAAAGTAGCACACTACGACAAATATCTTTACAAAAACTCGCATTAAGGGCTCTCTCCATTAAACTGGCCATTTCCCCTAGTTTCTACTTGTTCTCCTACTAGGGATAGGAGCAGGATTCACATTATTCCTACTCTTCAGTATGACCACAAAAACTGTCTACAATCTGGTATTAAGCCATTATTAAAATAGGATAAGGACTTTGAGGAGTCTTTTGGCATTATTCATTTTTCTTCTTTTAAAGGTGGAGACAGCAAAATATATTATTTGTTAAAAAAATATATTATTAAAGAAAAATAAAACTTTTAATAAACATATGGAATAAGATATCTTATGTTGCCGAATCTGGGAATGCAATATTAAACCCGAACCCAATAAACAAGTATAATAAAATTATATTTTTTATTTTTTAATCATGAAACTGCTAGATGTTTGTATGCCTTGCAACCTAAGAAATGCTAGAGAAAATTGACACGGCTATCAGAGTCATGGTAGCATCATGGTTAGTGCATACGCCTGGATAGCGAACGGTGCGGTTTCGAGTCTCGTCGGCGGCTAGGTCCGCGTGGTTTTTTTCTAGTAAAAAAAATGTGTTTGATAAAGTAGAAAACAATGTTCACTACCAATTTTATAATGTAGTAACCACCTTGAAAACTCTTTTGGTTTTTATTGAAGGGTAGGAGACCTACTAATAGTAGGGAACCAGTAGAAGTTAAAGGAAACGGCGATTCGAATTCAATAAATAGTCATACTGTATTAGCATCACATTTTGTTAAATGAGTGTTGTGTCGTCGTGATGTTGCCAGGGGTGTGAGGCCGACGTTACTTTGCTCACTACTATGTTGCCACTGTTGAAAAATGTATTTTAGATATTTTAAGAGTACCGTTTTCTGTGTAGATTTTCGATTACAAGTGAATGCGAAACGTGGTTCTTAAACCACGGATGAAAGAATGTTTAAAATCTGAATCTCTCGGTTTGAAAAGTCACTTCGGAAATGGAATTGTGAGGATAGGAAATAAAAAGCAACATTTTACCTGAAATAAAATGCATATTAAAATACTTACTTCACTGAAAGCTTTTTGAGATTATGCCCGGTGAATTAATTAACCTATTCACAACCGTCCCCTATAAGTTTAAATTTCTCAGAAAGTAGCATAACCATCACGACTCTTTCTCTCTTCCCTCTATACAGACAGACTGACGTTTGTATTTCTAATATAAGTAAACACCATTACCATCTCCTATTTCCAGTCGTACTTCATCTTTTACCATGATACCTTTCAATTTGTCATTTAAAAGATATTTGTAGGCTTCAATCGAAAATCCTATTTCACCATTCAAAATATAGGTTTCCATGACTAAATTTGTTTTCTTAGTACAGAGTAGATCAAATAGATTGTCAAAGAGCATTGGACATGTATTTTTTCTTTATTCACATAATCTAAACATTGCAGAGATAGATTGGTTTGAAATATCCAATGACCGAGCCCCTACTGTCAAATTATGACACGCTTTAATTTTTGTAATTTTTTGATTGATTGAAAAATGAAAAAAGTAATGCCCATTATTTTTTGTTTATTAACTGACGGACTTAATGGAATTCCGTTTACTCCGTCATCATACCCATTGTAGCTTATAAATATCTTCTAAATTGGTAGTTATCATAATAAAAGATGTTAGTTAGACTATTAGTGAGCCGTGTCCTATAATGTTTGAGTTAATGTATGTAACGTTATTTTTAGTTTCCGAGTCTAGGCGATAGGGTGGCCCCGTCCTTACTTCCAATTTCCAATACACAAGTGCTTTTCTGCCTCTTTACATTGGGATCATTGGAGGAATGTGTGATATATTGTCCAATATTTATTGTATTTATTTAATAAATCATAAAGGGATTTCGATATCTCATAGAAATTTCCCGACTTCCTAATGTCGATAAAATTAATAAACCATTTCTTGGTTACAATTATTTCATTATTTAATCAATCATAATCATTTACTCGGGCATAAATTTGCCTATTTTATTTTAGAAATATGCATAGATATGTAATATTTAAACTATTTCCCATATGGTATTTTTTTCTCATGATAATATTCAAGGACCCCATGGTATTTAAGATGACCTGGGAATTATAACGCAAACAATCAACAATGTTATCGTCGGGAAGCTGATTCCTTATTTGCAAACCATACTGATCTGGTATATTCACGTAGGTCCAAATAGAATACTTTTTCTTTGTGTTGCTCTCGCAAATTGGATGTTACCGCATTGTAAATAAAGTTCATTATCTCGTGAAATTTAAAAAGTTATTTTGTATTTAGCGAAACACAGACTCAAGAACGCATTTATACATACTAGTTCTTCCTTGATGATATTTCGTATGTTCCGTGGGTTTTCTCCATAATAATAGTTTACTATTCGCAAAACCCCATTTATGTGCCAAATTGAATTTAGTGAGATATTAAGTGTCGTAATACTTTTGTATATGCAACTTTTAGCTGACACGTCACGACACCAGTTATCTTTTCCGAAAAATCGTCATTAATGATTTTCTCTATGGAAGGTTTAGTTGGAAGCGTTGTCTAAATGAAAGTCAAACATATTTTTTCCTTGTTTTTGTGTAGTCGTAGGAGTTAAAAGTAAGAAAATACTTTCCTATTTAGTAAGATTTATGTTTATATTTGTAGTGTAATGCTCAAACGACCACAGTTGCGTACATGTAGCAGTGAGCAACGTATGTCCCGGCGTATGTATTTCCAAAAGTTATGTTTATTGTTGACTTGACGACTGTTGTTGATAGAACTCGTGCCTCCGACCAATGCCAGAACCGGTGGATCTGTCTAATCTTATATATGCCAATCTTAGCTTTCGCATATTATTTACACTCTGTCGCACTCACCTTTTAGTGCTATTTGTAACATGTTTAAATTAAATAGTTTATAATGCAGCAAATGGAAGTTTACTAATCCGTAAAGATGAAAAATACAAGTTTTTTTTAATACTATATATTTTCATTATTTGATTACAAATTATTTTTTGTGTATATCTATTAGCGGTACTTCAATTGGCTACATGTGTAAGCTATTTGTAACAGTCTGTTCTTTTCATTCTATAAAAAGCATGATAAGGACATAATGTTGTCAAGTTTACGAATAGCAAACACGAATATCCAAGTGAAGTATTGGCATAAAATGTGAGCCGTTCATTTTTTTCCATCCAATATTGCACTTTATTTCTACTTGTAATAGAGAACAGTTTTATTATGAAAAATGTTAATACTGTACAAGTTTTCATTATACTAAATAAGAACCAAGTAGGTTAGTAATCAATTAATAAAATATCAAAATATAAATAAATACACGATTTAATAATTGTAATTAAAACATATCCAAAGAGAAATATGTAAAAATGTACAGTTTAAACGGCAAGTGCTAATGGTATTTTAAAATTTTATTGTAGCTGTTCAATTGTATTTAAAACATTATTTTTGACATTATTACAGATAGTTGGGTACAGTCACTAACATCATTGTTTCGTTGTAATGTCGTTTTCTTTATGTAAATTGTTGTTATAATGTTTATAGGACTAAAGCTCAAGAATCCTTATTACGTTTTATTTTGTAGATAACCATTTTGTTTTTGTAAATAGCTTAAAATGTGTTAACGTTATAGTGCTTATTGCTTAACTAAAAGTGATTACTTCTGTTGTCAAATAACTCAAAAAAAAATATATCTTTCACTCGCGATAAATGTGAGAGCAAGTAGTCTTTGAAAATTTACAATGGCTATGAAAGTTTGTTGAATCAAAATATTTCATCATTCTAGGTATGTGAATAATGGATAATTGTTGGACGTATATTGTTTTCATTACATGCGGGCGCTTCACTATGCTATCCCGTATTTGCTATTTGTAAACTTGACAACAGTGATAAAGACAGACAGGAATGAAAGGGATACTGATATCAAATTTACAAATAGCAAACACGAATAACCAAGTGAAGTGGCGACATAAGGTGTTATTGCACATTTTGGTTTGTTTTTTTTATTTCCTATTATATTAGTAGTGGTATAAATAGTTTGTTGGCGACTGTACTCTAACGCTT